GAAAACTTTTTATTGATCATCTAGTTCCCAGAACAATATATGATTCAGAATAGTTCTCAAAAATATGTTGAATATATGTAGGTATATTGCTAATATATAATCAGTAAATAGAGAACAAGTGTATAAACAGAAAATGCTGTTTCCCTATGTGCCAATATTTTACAAGTTTAGCCATTTGGAGTTGAATCATCCTACCATGACCCCATCATTCTCTCTTACCTGATTATAGTCCTCTAATCTACCCAGCACAAGCAGTTATGGGCCTACAGGAATAGCTGCAGGAACTGCATACAGTTCAGCTTTTTCTGCTTTACTAATGAATAACAGGAAGCATTGTGGAGCATTCTCATGTGAGGCTGATGTGAGAATATGAGCAGAGAGGCCAGAGTGGTGGGAAGCAGAGTAATGGGCAGTGAGACTTGGGAGATAAGTGGAAGTCAGGTGATGAAAATGATGTTCATTCTTTAGATCTATTGTATTATAAAGGGCTCTACATAGTAAAGTAACATTTTCATTTTTCATAAATGGCTCTGTAGCTATGTGAAAGATGGACAGAGGAGGGAGGATGGGTTAAGGCTGGAGAAATGAAACATAACAGAACTGCAACAAACAGCACAGACAGAAATCTTTTGAGAAACTATTTCTACTCATATCTCGTAGGCAACTTAAACGTCAACATGTATAAAACAAAACTCTTTTGTCTCTCCCACTTTTCTATCACAGGAAATGACTGTATTATTTATCAAGTAGTTCAAGTCAGAAACTTCAGAGCAATTCTTGCTCTTATTTTACTCATCTCCTAAATCCAAGTAAAATGCTACATTCTCAGCAGGTGCTGGTGGCTCATGTCTATAATCCTGGCTACTCAGGAGGCTGAGACCTGAGGATTGGAGTTTGAAGGTAAGGCAAGAAAGTTCTTGAGACTTCTATCTCCAATTAACCACCCCCCAAAAAGGTGGGGAGGCTGGGAAGGTGGTTCAGTGATAGAGTGCTTGCCTAGCATGCATGAGGCCCTGGGTTCGATTCCTCAACACCACATGAGCAGGAGAAAAAAGCCGGAAGTGGTGCTGTGGCTCAAGTGGTAGAACACTAGCCTTGAGTTGAAGAGCTGAGGGACAGCACCCAGAGTTCAGGCCCCACAACCAACAAAAAATTATATTAAGTGAAGTAAGCCCAAAGAAACATAGGTCCCATGGTTTCCCTTATTTGTAATAACTAGTATATGTCTGAGACAAGCAGAAAGGGTCAGATAAGTTGATGTTAGGCGAAATGAACTCCAAGATAAGGACTCAAGTGGCTTTTCTTTCTTGCTACTGTTTCTAACATATTTATAAGGTGATTTTTTGGTTGCATTGTATGTCCCTCCCCCACTGTATAACCCCTGTTTTCCCTGTATTTGATGTTGGTATAATTTGGGGAGGGGAAGGGAAAAAATAAATTGTTTAAATAGCGATACAGGTGGTCCCATTGCAACAATGAAATGTACAAGATGCTATGTCGAAAAACCAACTTTACAATTTTGATGGTGTGTGGGGTGGGGGAGGTGTAGTGGTGGAGATGGGAAGGCAGGGATGGTAAGGGAAAAACAAAGGAGGAGGCAACAATGCTTGAGAAGAAATGTACTCATTACCTTGCTGATGTAATTGTAACCCCTCTTTATGGTATTTTCACAATAAAAATTAATTAAAAAATTAAAAAAGAAAAAAAGCTGGAAATGGAGCTTTGTCTTACATGGTAGAGTGCTAGCTTTGAGCAAAAAAGTTGCGAGATAATACCCAGGCCTCAGGACCAGCACACACACACACACACACACACACACACACCCCACACACACACACACACACACACACACACACACACCACACACACACACACACACACACACACACACACACACACAGAGCTATATCCTGTAGTTTCTAACATTATTTCCATTTTCCCCACCACATCCTAGTCCCCCATCATTTTGGCATGGACCAGTGGAAAAATTTCCTGATGTGTATGGCATGTCCACAATTTACCCTGGAAATGCACTTTTACCTTGCTTCCAGAATGATCCTTATTAAATCCTATCCATCCTGACAACATCTTGTTCAAAAGTACTCATTATTCCTAGGATAAAATCCACCATTCCAAGCATGGCCTACAAGCCATCTTGAATAATAACAATAAAAACACCTACACTGCTAGACATTGTTTTGCATTGCAAGCTTTCTTTCCCATAACAACATTGTGAAGCTAGAAGTATTAGCATCATCCTCATTTTCAGATGGAAAAACTGAGTCAAGGTGAGATTGAGAAACTTATCCAAAGTCATACAGCTAATTTAATACTAATATGGATCTAACTTAAAGTTTCACATTATCCTCAAACTGTCACTTTCAGAACTCAATTGTTCTCTTTTGCCATGAGGTTTCACACCAATTATTCTCTACATCTAGATTCATATAAACATCTCACTGTGAAGGTAAAATTTATTCATTAAACTTGATGCGGTGGTTCACACCTGTAATGCCAGCACTTGAAGGTTGAGGCAAGAGAATCTCAAGTACAAGACAAGCTTGGTCTATATGCAATACTTGGCACCCCCCACCCCCCAAAAAAGTAGTCATCAAGTCTTTGCTTAAATATGATTAGCCCTAGAAAGTTTGTCTTATTTAAAAGTAAACATTTTATTTGTATCTCTTTATGGTCTCTCTTCAGAAGAAAGTCAAAATTGCTACAGCTCATACTCAATTCTTAGTAAGACATTCACCAGGAATCCACTAAACATTTGTTGCACGAATGCACAGACAAATGGATGATGTACAGATAGAAACGCCTTAAAAAGGAAATTTTATCTACTGATGAGAAACACAAAGAAGGAAAACACAAATTAACTGGATATTGATTAGTGGCTTCCAGGTTCCAAGCAATACTTTTGGGAATTTATAGCCCACAAGGGGAAAGAGACACATAAACGTGATGGCAGAACAATATAAGCAATGCACCTCTTAGAACAGTAGCAGAAATAAAGTACAATAAGTGTGGAAATGAAAAAGTATTAGACTATGGATAAGGAAATGCTTGAATCTTTTTGCCAGATGAATAAACGCTGGCAAATATTTCACATAGTCCCTTCTTTCCCTTGAGAAGAGAATGAATCATCCACTACATGCTGGGGTACTTTATATCTCATTTAATTTTCACAACAGCTTCTGCCCATTTTAAAGATGTGAAAAATCAAAGCTAAGAAAAGTCAAGTGTCTTGCTCAAAATATGACAGTTTAGTAATAAAGGAGAATACCCAGTCTGCCCATTTACATACCATTCATATTGCAATCAATTGACACAGTAACTGACTCAATAGTCTGCTTACTTTTATTTTCAATGTAACTTTTAACAACATTGGTTATCTAGCTCCTTACTCTTATATAAGTAAGTAGAATAAAGGAAAGGTCAAGAAAAAGCCAAAGGGAAGTAAAATAGCAAGAGAAAGGACACACACACATACAAAACCCCTAAAACTTAAGACACAAATTCAAATGCCATGAACCATATGGTCCTAAATATTTCACAACAGTACTTGATATGCATAATGATGAGTCCATTATAAAAGGAAAATGTTGGTATATTGATTATGGCCTGATAAAGAAAGAACCTATTATGCTTAAAAAGGTAAATCTTCAAACTCTAGAAGAGTATTAATTTGCTCATAAAATGAATTATAATCATTATTTCCAAAGTGTTTGTTAAAAGAAAAAGCTTAAGATCTTAGGAGTCTTCATTTTAGGTATATAGTTGTTTCTCTATTGCTTTATACTTTGGCCGGTATAGAAAAAGTCAGGCTGGGTGCCAGTGGCCCACGCCTGTAATCCTAGCTACTCCAGAGGCTGAGATCTAAGGATTACATTTGGAAGCCAGCCTGGGCAGAAAAGTCCCTGTGAGACTCTTATCTCTAATTAACCACTCAAAAACTGGCAGTGGCCCTGTGGCTCACAGTGGTAGAGCAAAATAAAAAAAAAAGCTCAGGGTCAGCACTCAGTCCCTGAGTTCAATCCCCACAACTGATAAAAAAAAATAAAGTCAATCTTAGCATGTATATTTACCCATATATATGTTTATATATAAATAAATGTTGTATATATATATATTACGTGATAAGTTTCAAATTGTTCTCATACATAATATTTCAATTAACATAGATCGGCAAGCATAAGGGGGTCACTGAACATTTTCATATCTATGAACAGTCCTCTAAAATAGCCTAATAAAACAGAATAAACTGCTTATACACCAAATGGGGGAACTGTAATATTTTTAATTTACTGCTCCTGAAATTTAAATAGGTATGAATATAAAAAAAGAAAGAAAAGAAATAATTTAGGCAGACACAGAAAAAGCTGGTGGAGGAATTCAAAATCAAAGCATTCGACTACCTTATGTAGACCCATTTTCAACCTGAAGATACTTAGTTTGCTTATAACTTAAGCTTTTATTATTTTATATGGTTCTTAGGTGGGAAAAGGTTACATTTGTAGGACAAATCCTGGCTTTTGTTTGTTTTAAAAGGCAAGAGAAAACTGGCCAATAACTTAATGACTAGGAAACACTTACAGTCATTTAGCATTTTAGAGGCTTTAAATGGAAAACTTTCTGCAGAACACTGTAACCATGTGAAAAGCACATTAGCTACTCTTAGTAACACGTAAAAGAAACATAAAAGATCTGACTTACAATTAAATATAATTTCTAAAGACTTTTCTCCTAGCAATGCAGTTTTTTGCCTAAAACTTTAGAAAATCAATTATTGTGTATTTATATTTGAAAATAGGTTTTAGTTTACCTTGCTCCATCGGGGCCAAAAAATAAAAATAAAATCTATGTTTTATAGATGCCCCAATGTAGGGTGAATTCATAGTAAGAATTCACTTTAAGTGAATTTATTAGAACCATGTAAGCAAAAATCATGTAAATAATTGCAAGTAAAATTTCACTGTAGTTAAAATACTCGTCCTTACCTGGACGCTCTTCAGAATAAACTCGCTTTTCTCTCTCACATCTTTAAAGGGACACCTCTTAGAAAGCATAAGCAGATGAGCAAGAAGCTTATTCAACCCATCCAAAGAAACAGCATTTGAAAGCCCGTCTGATGAACGGTAAGTTGCTTCTTTCAGCGAACGAAGATACTCGGTTTTCCTCAAAACGATTTGTCTAATGTTTTCCAGTGCTGCTTCCCTAGTAGTTGAATCTCGAGTGCACAATCCATCCCATCTCACTTCATTTTCTCCTTCAGCCATGACAATCGGGAGTTTTTCCTTGATAGCCTTCAGTTACCTTTCAGCATGCCCGCAAAAGCACTTTGCAATTTTTACCACGAGAAATACAAGAATAAAGTCAGACAGATCGAGTCGTCATGAAAACACACGTGCGAGTGGCATCTGTAACCAGAAGAGTCTTTTAAATGGATGCTTTCAATCAGTCTAGCGAACTGATCGCCTTCTCCGACACGAACAGAGATTGGAAAAACAAAAAACAGAGTTGGAAAGTTGAAATCTTCCAGCGCTGGCTTTGCTGGACGGGGAGGCACAGGGAAGTGTTTTCCGTCTCGCGGGGTCAGCGGATATCCTCACGTTGTGGAGCTGTCAAATCTGAGCTCTGCCCCAAAACCCTGGTAACAGTTGAACGCTCTCCAGCCATTCGGGTTTCTTTTTTTTTTTTTGTCTGTGCAGCCACCGAGTCCTCCCTGTCGTTCCCACCCCTCCTTCCCGCACTAGACTCCGCCCCCCTTGGCTCCTCCCAGAGCCTCCGTTACCCGCGTAGGATTCGCCCAATGCTGGCCTCCGGCCGCCGCGGCCCGACGCACGGACGCTCCAGTCTCTGTCTTCGGCGGGCGGCGACGAAGGAGACTCCTCAGCCCCGCGGACTCCTGACCCGGAGAAAGACGCCGCTTCTTCTACCCCCGTGCACCGTCCCACTGCAGCCAAAGCAGAGGGCACAGGCTGGCCCGGCAGTCCTCGAGCGCCCGGCTGGGCCGCGAAGCTGTCTGAGCCGCGGGGCCTGAGGCGCAGAGCCCGCCCCTTCGGCCAGCCCCATCGGTGGGGATCGGCCCAGAGGGCGGGAGCAGGGAGGGGAGATGGGGTCCTCACCCCCCAGCCCCTCCCCTTTCTCCGCCCGGCACAAACCCGGAGCCGCCCCAGGCCCCGCGTCTGCTTCCATGTCGAGGCAAAGCCATTGGAAAACGCCCCGCCCTCCGACTGGATACCTCCGGACCTCAAGTCCGCGCGCACGGTCGCCAACCCCCCCCCCCTGCCAGCTGTTGCGCATGTGCAGCTGCTGGCAGAGCGCATGCGCCTCTAAAGACTTCGTTTGTGGGTTTTGGAGTCGTTGGCCGGGTTTAGGAAAAGTGACAAGTGTGTACACTGAGGTTTTGGCACATGAGACAGGTACAGCAGGTAAAGGGTAGGATGGAACCCTTAGAAGAAACTTTATATTTAAGACCAGCATAAAAAGAAGGGACAGCGTCTTTATGTCAAACCCCAGATTTAAGAAGGTATTGGCTTTGCATTGCCTTCTGGGAAATGTAGTTTTAATGTTGCCGGCGCATTCTGTTTGCGACAGAAACTACAACCCCCAGAGGCCACCGCGATCTTGCTTGTAGCTTCCAACGGTTTGGGAGGAGAGGGTTGACTGAAAGCTTCGGTCCGGTAAGCGTCGTAGGTTGGGCTGTGACCTATCGTTTTGGTAGGAATTTTCCTCCCTCCATTTTTCTCTGAGCTTTTGAAGCCACCCAAGGTTACTTCCTGTAGTCCAGGGACTTCTTCCACTTACCTGTTTGTGAAGGACTAACTAGTACAGGTGCCCAGCCCGTAGTCGTGGTGAGGTGAGGGTCCCATGGAGCGGCCTAAGTAAGGCCCGACGGGAAGAATGCTTAGAAACTTGTGCTCCATGCTGCGACCTCTGCTGTTGTCCCGTCCTGTGGACATTGAGCTCGATGGATTAGGAGGAATACCTGTGCAATCTTTGCACCTTTGTTTGCCTCTGTATGAGGATGTTTGTTCCTTCAAATATAATCTCAAACGGGGAATGGTAACCCAGATTGCCAAATCGGTTGTGTCTGAAACTGAAAAGTACTCCCAGTGTTCCTAAGTATGAATTCTGGAAAGCTTTAAGAATCCTATTTTTAAAAAGCTCCAAATTTATTATGTATAAACAATGAGCTGGTTTATTTTAAAATTGTTTTTAAAGGTACTTTTGAGAAAACGCGAGTTTGAAAGTCCATCAATGGACTGACTGGTTATTATTATTTGTAGCTTAACACTATGTGGGTGAGGATTTCATTATTACATTTCCGCACATACTTACAATATATTTTAATCAATCACTCCCAACACCAGATTAGATTTTAATTGTTCAACATTGCAAAACGGATGTATTTCTAAACATCCTAGGTATGGATTGTATACAACAATGAAAAATATATGATCCTATCTTCTTTTAAAAACTAGTGCTTAATCGCACAATTAGAATACTGGTTATATTTTGTAGGATGTCTAGGGTTAGAAACTCAGGTTACACCGGGCGCTGGTGGCTCACGCCTGTAATCCTAGCTACTCAGGAGGCTGAGATCTGAGGATCGCGGTTCAAAGCCAACCCGGGCAGGAGAGACCGTGAGACTCCTATCTCCAATAAACCACCAGAAAACCGGAAGTGGTGCTGTAGCTCAAGTGGTAGAGCGCTGGCCTTGAGCTAAAGAGCTGAGGAACAGCGCCCAGGCCCAGAGTTCAAACCCCATGACCGACCAAAAAAAAAGAAACTCAGGTTACTTTTCATCTCACAGAAATAAGGACCAAAACAGCAATATCCATTATATAGTCTCTATAGGCATTGAAATCCTTTTTAGTTCCTACAATATATAACAGGATGTTGAGATACAGTATTGAGTACAGTATATCCTGTTATAGAGCTTACATTCTAAGGAAAAATTGTAAATATGTAAACTATATATATAAATTAAATGAAGAAACTAAGTGGGAAGCAAAATGAAGAGTTACTGGTTAGTTAAGGGACAAGTTCAAACCTATTATCAGAATCAAATGCCCATGTCTGCCAATGAGGTACCAATGTTAGAAAGATGAGTGTCTGTAGGAAGGAATCTAAGTTTATTTTGGAGCTTGATATTGAGATGATAGTGATGATTTTGATTGATATTGAGAAGATAGAGGAACCACTTTTGCCTCAGAGCTTGAGGAGGGGGACACAAGGGACAAAAGGCTGAGGAGGAAAAGGGTCATGAGACATTGGACAAAAGTACCTTCAAAGCTAAGTCTATGTTCAAAGTCTGTGTTGGTGGCTCTCCTAGGCACTTATCCTTTCCTGTCTTTCTTCATCCACAAAACATAAGGAGTGACCACAACCTCCTAGGGCCAGCTCCAGAATTTTCAAGCACTTCACTTTTCTGCAAGTTAAATCATGTTTTTAATTTGTTGTTGCTATAACAAAAGCTATTTACTGTAGAACTGAAGGAAAAAAGGAATTACTAGGATCTCCAAGTTTTCTGGGCCCTAAAGAAAGGTCATTCAGCAATTAGCACTTTTTTTCTTCTTAATTAATCTATTTATTTATGGTAGTACTGGATCCTAGAACTCAACAAGGCCTTGAGCTTTGAAGGCAGACCTTGAACCACTAGAGCCATACTGCCAGCCTCAGCAATTAGCATCTTAATCATCTGGGTGGAGGGCTTCTCTTTAGCCAAATGTTTGGGAGGAGGAGAAGGGAGAAAGAGTAAGGGAAAGATTAGGTAGAGACCCATTGGACTGTTTCAGAGGAGACCCTGCAACAGAATTAATTTTTTTTCATTTTTTATTTATTTTTTATTTGTGAACATACTGTACAGAGGGGTTACAATTACATGGGCAGGATAATGCGTACATTTCTTACCAAGCATTGCAGCCTCCTCCTTTGGTTTACCCTTCACATCCCTTCCCAAGAATTAATTTTTTTAAAAAAAGGATTTTGGGGAGGATATGAAATAGGAGGAGTACATTCATGAAAAGGACAAAGTGTGTTGGGAATGTGGCTTAGTAGTAGAGTGCTTGCCTTAGCATGCATGAAGCTTTGGGTTCAATTCCTCAGTACCACATAAACAAAAAGCTAGAAGTGGTGCTGTGGCTCTAGTGTTAGCTTTAAGTAAAAGCTCAGGGACTGCCCAGGCCCTGAGTTCAAGCCCCAGGACTGGCAAAAAGAAAAGAAAAAGACAAAATGCAATGGCCTCTAGGCAGGAACATGCCTACATATTTGAGAAAAAGCAAGAATATTCAATGAGTTCAGTAAAGAATAATATGAGGGTCACAGAAGTGAGGTAATGGTAGGAGATAGTGTAGGTAGTTTAAAGGACTTTGGATTTTTTTTGCTTGAGATAGAAAGCCATTGGAAGATTTTAGGTAGAAGAGGGTAGTATCTAACTTATTACTAATTATTAGTATGATTATTAGCTTATACTAGTTAACACTGGGAGAATTTCATAGTTATATCTAAATGATCTAACTTTTTAAAAATTATTTTCTTAGACTATATGTTGATCATAGACTGTGAGGAAGCACGAGTAGAAACAGAGACTCGTCAAAAAAAGCTGGATAGGAGATGACTGGTTTGCACCAGGGCATAGCAGTGGAGGCAGTGAGAAGAGGCCAAAATCTGGATATGTCTTGATAGTATAGCCAACACATTTTGCAGATTAGAGGTGAGATGTAAATATATATATATATATATGATTCCAAATGCTCTAGCCTAAGCTACTGAAAAGGAATTGCCATTTGTTTTATAAGAATGTTTAGAGGGAGAGAGCAGAGGGCACTAGTTAGTTTGGCCATGCTAAGGGTTTGTGAGAGAGTTATATTCACAGGTCTCTCTGATGAGTTTATTAGACAGAATGATAGTTTATTAATGCACTTTGAACTGCTAAATAGTTTACTAATTACCTTGCCAGGTTTTTTTTTTTTTAAATCTTTCCCCTTTTGTAGGAAAATTACATAGGAAATCAATCAAGTTACCTAGAAATCTGGAAATAGCAAAGGAAATTAGATATGTAATGTAATTACTTAATGGTAATAGGGTGTGAGAAATTTTCACAGTAGTAGATTTTTATTTGTTTTGATTTTTTTGCAGGGGGAGGGGGTAGGGGATGGGGGAGGGGGAGGCAATAGGATTTTCTCATGTAGCCTAAGCTGGCCTTGAACTGTGATTGACATGTTTTGGGGTCACACATTCATAAAAGAATTTACTGAAACAAGAGAATAGGAAAATGGCTTATTAGGACATCATT